CAAAGGTTTTTAAATTATTCGCAATTTTCGGCAACATTCTCCTCCCCGCAGGCGACCCCAATGTCGTTTGCGTCAACTTTACCGATATCCAGAATGGCCAGCTTTACGGCAGGGCGCTCCAAAAAGCCTTTTGTTGTTTTGACCTTAGCTCGTCTTACTTGGCCGTCTTTCGCTACGGTTGTCTCGATAACTATGCCTTTTACCCAAGTATTTCTCTTAGCCGTTTCATCAACTATCAGCACAACGTCTCCTACCGTAATGGGTTTCACTTTATTGAACCATTTGCCGCGACGCGTTAATGTCGGAAGTATCTCACGCACCCATCGTCGCCAAAATTGATTTGCAAACATCTCAGATTGTAGCAGGCACATCTTTGGATCGATTCTCTTAGCATCACAAAATGGTTTCAAACCATTAGCGCTCCCCAACAAGAAATGGTTTGGAGTTATTGGATCCTCATCTTCACTATCGAGTGACACGTAGGTTAAAGGACGCGAGTTGATGATCATTTCAACTTCAAGTAATGCAGTACGTAAACTTTCATCCGTAAACCGTTGAGATGGCGAAATTTGATACAGCACTGTCTTAATTGTTCTTATCAGTCGCTCCCACGCTCCTCCCATATGTGGTGCTGCCGGTGGATTAAATTTCCAGTCTATTCCTTGATGAGCTAGCTTGTGTTGCATAACCGAGGAATCAATGTTCTTTAACTCCTTTCTTAAAACGTTCTCGACACCGTGAAAATTCGTTGCATTATCGCTGTAGATGGTGATAGGTTCTCCTCGTCTGGCAATGAAATTTCTTAAACACATTAGGCATGAGTCAGTACTAAGACTATGGGCGATTTCGATGTGAACGGCTCTGATAGTCAAACAAGTTATTATAACACCCCACCTTTTCAGTGCTTTGCGATTCTCAATAACCACCATTGGTCCAAAATAATCAATACCCACATGAGTAAATGGACGTTGAAAAGCTGCTAGTCGTGCTGGGGGAAGTAAGGCCATTTGCGGCGCTTGAGGTATTGCCGATGAAATTTTACATACGTTGCAGTTTCGTCGCATCGATTTGAATAATGGTCTTAATTTTGGTATGAAATACAATTGTCTGACCTCATTTAAAGCAGTTTCATGTTGGATGTGATAAAATCGTTCATGATAGTGCGCACATATAAGGTACGATACTCTATGTTTTGGCGGTAAGAAAATAAAATCAGTTTGAGATTTACACTCATTCGTAAAGTTACTCGCTCTGTTTTTTACTCTTATGAGCTCATTGTTATCCATATACACCTGCAACCTATATAACGGACTGTTCCTTTCTATTATTCTCCCCATTTTCAGTGTCGACCAATCTTCAAGTAGTTCCTGTTGCACGCTTTTGTATATTAAGAGCTTCGCGCGCTCAATATGTTGAACAGTCAAAATAACGTTTGTAGCATTGAAACCGCCACAACGAGCCTTTAGTTTCCCAATGTAGAGTAGCCAATTTGCAACGGCACGGTACAACTTGATCCAGGATGAAAAATATTCATAATTGAAACATGGTTGTGTCTCGCGATGATATAAAAATTTTGCACGAGTTTCACTGGTCTCCATCGGACCTAAGTCCACCTCAGTTGGCCATTTATCCTCGTCTTGTAGCAAAAATTCTGGTCCTTCGACCCACCGCTGCACATATTCGGGACTTTGTTTTGTTTTCGTTGCACTGTCTGCAGTATTTAATTTCGTGGGTACCCATCTCCACTCTTCGACGGTTGATGCTTCTTGAATTTCTGCAATGCGAAACATTACGAATTGTTGAAATTGACGTGGATCACCACGCAACCACTTTAGCACCGTTTTGGAATCGCTCCAAATGAAACGCTTTTTAATATCAAATGTGTGTACTTTACATATTGTATTCATAAGCCGTGTGCCAATTACAGCAGCTTGTAGCTCCATTCTTGGAATAGACATCGGTCGCATTGGAGCGACTTTGGTTTTTGCTGCTACGATCCTCGTACTTACTCCATATTTATCTTTAATGCGGAAGTATGATACAGCTGCATAAGCAAACTCACTCGCATCTACGAATGTATGAATTTGTACATCACATGAACTTTCTGTTATGTATGGTGAATAACAACGGGGTACAGAAATATTAGCAAAAATAGGCATGCAGGCAACCCAAGCTAACCACTTGCCCATAAGATCGGGTACCAGTGGTTGATCCCAGTCGATTCCGCTTCTCCAAATATCCTGAATAAGTATTTTTAAATATGATGTGAGGCAAGCTGCCAGTCCCAATGGATCAAAAATGGACATTAAAATTTGAAGTACTTCTCTTTTAGTGGGTACAATTTCATCTGCAAAAACATTACGACGTAAACGAACGAATTTTAAAACATATTTAAAGCAATCTGACTTCGGGTCCCAATACATGCCGAGAATTTTTTCGATTGGAAGTGTGTCGATATTATTATCAAACGACTTACCCGTCTGTTCACCATTTTCGTTTAACGCAGCTAAAACTTCTGGTGCATTACTTGTCCAGCTTCTCATATGGAAACCACCTTGTTCATGTATGTTGCGAACTGCCTCGGCTAATGCTATTGCTTGTTCAATGGAATTTGTTGAATCTATAAAGTCATCCACGTAATGATTGTTTTTAATAGCGTACACTGCTCTAGGATTTTCAGCTATAAATCTTTCTGCGTTCAGGTTTCGAATAAAATGCGCTATATATGGTGAACATCGCGCACCAAAGCTAACTACATTTAATTTATAAACGCAAATATTTTTAAATGTCTCGCTGAACCATAAAAATCTCTGAGCATCAGTATCTGCTTCTTGTACTAGAATTCGATGAAACATTTCAGCAATGTCACCACAGACAGCTATTCTTCCTATACGAAAATTTAATAATATGTTTATAAGTGGTCGCAGCATATCCGGCCCCTTCAGCAAAAAATCGTTTAGTGACACTCCTTCAGCTTTGGCTGCAGCATCCCAAACTAATCTATGCTTTTTCGGTTTAAGTAGATTGCGCACAATAAAAATTGGTAAATACCAAATCTTTCCACCTCGCTCGTTAATTGCTTCTGGTGGCAACTCAGTTGCGTAGCCCTTGCTGACTAAAGTAGTGATTTGTTCCTTTAGCTTTTGACACAATTCAGGGTCCCCATGCATTTTTCGACGTAAGCACTCCGCTCGACGTAATGCCATCGGCAAGCTATTTGGCAATTCGACCGTATCGGTGTTCCATGGCAAATTGACAACGTAGCGGTTTCCGCGTAACTGGCACTTGCGCATTATTTCCTCTGCTCGCTGATCCTCAACTGAAAGTAATTCTGCTTTTGGGGTAGCCACCGCGACATTCTCGTTTACTATAAATGTCTTTACTAACTCATGAAGCTCCCTATCAGCTTCTTGTCCACAGCTACATTTGTGTAGGTTTAAGTTGTTACGGTGGTTTAATTCACCACTACCAAAAACTGTCCAACCAAGACGTGTTTTCACCGCCACGGGTTCTTGCCAGCCACCCTCCCTCACCTTAAGTGCTGAAATTAAGTTTGGATTATTTACGCCGATAATCAGCATGGGGACAGCATTTGTATAACTTGCTAGAGGCAAGCCATCTAAATGCGGATACCATTGTTTTATTTTATCAGCTGCAAAAGATTCTGCTGACATGCGTAAGTTGCTTATTGTGCGGACATTTTTCAATGGAAATTTTTTAGCTTGAGGAGCATTGGCAGAAATTTGTAAGTTGAGCCTTTTTGAGTTATTTTCCTGTCGACTGATATTACCTGTCCAATTAATGCATAGCGCATCCTGGATACCATCGTTTCCCAATTCATCGGCTAGACTTGCTTCAATAAGCGTTAGTGTTGACCCATCGTCCATCAATGCATATGTGTTAATAGTCCTTTTGGTGCCATATAAAGTAACTGGAAGAATTCGGCAATATGACCAGTTTTTATTCACTGATGAATTATGGTTGTTGAGTAACGCTTTGTTTGAGTATGGACTTAAACTTATTTGTTCTACTATATCCGATGAAACATTGTTAGCTGTAGAAGATATTGCTGGCGTAGATTGGTCTATACGAGAATGCAGCATGGGGTGGTGTCGTGCATTGCAGCCATCAATGCCACACACTTTATTACTGAAACAGCGACGCCTATGCTCGCCTAAGCATTGTCGGCACAGCTTCTTTTCCTTGACAATGCGCCAGCGTTGATTAGTAGGCTCGTTCTTGAATATTTCACATTCCATTATTTTATGTCCGCCGCCACAAATGTAACACCTAACTGCCGTGGTTGTCATTTCAGCTGTCTGATGTACGTGCACTCGTCCTTCCTTTTTTAGTGGTTTATCTAAAAAAGAAGGTGTAGCTACCCTACTTGCCGCATTTGCTAAAGATGAGAGCCACGCTGAAAAATCGCGAAGTGTAGGTTCGGCTATTGATGCTGAATGTAGTGCCCATTTGAGCTTCATATCTTCAGTTAATTTACTTATTAACTCATGTAATAAGAGTGGATTATTAAAATAACTATTGAGCTTACATGCCTCAATTGTTGCAACTACATTATTAATGTTGACTGCAAAGTCAATTAAATCGCCCAGCCTACCCCTTGGAGGCGGTAACTGACGCATTTTCTCAATTAACTTATTTAGAATTATTTCTGGTCGTCCAAAATACATACGAAGAGTGTTTATTATTTCTCCAACCATATTAGGCAACACCAACATATTGCGTACTACATCGCGCGCTTTACCAATGAGGCACCTCTGTAAGCGCATTAGACATTCATAATCGGAGAAACCTGCGATTTGCTTAGTTTGCTCGTACGCACTTATAAAAATGTGCCATTCTTCTGGATCGCCGCGGAACGTAGGCAAATCTCTCGGTATGCATTGACGCGCTGCTAGCTGAGACGACGTAAGCGTGGGAGCGATCTGTAAGGTATAAAGAGATGGATTATTTACTAACCTTGGTGTACTCTGTAGATGAGGTTGGCCATGTGGCGAGAAGTGTTCATCAGCTACGGCTTGATGTGCATTCAGCTGAGGCCCAACTTCAGGCAAATGTGATTCCACGATACCCTCGTCGTCACTATCTGCAGTGAGGATTTTAAATTTTTCCCGCAAATAGCTCTCCCTAATCTGCAACGACTCTTCTAGCTGTTGCAACTTAAGTTGTTTTATTCGAGTAATGTTGGCGCTGGGCTGCTGCTGTTGTCTACTATGTTGACCATCATCCTCATTGTGTTTGTGTGAGATTTTATCATCACCATCTGCATCTCCAACTTCAAGTATGGCTGCTGATGTTAAACCTTTTTGAAGAGGCAGCTCCACGTCATTATCATTTTCCATATTATAAAGATTTTTTAAGAATTTCTTGTTGTAAAAATAAGTATATAAATGCTCTTATGACAATTTTAAATAGCACTCTTTATTTTGCGCTTAAAAAATCTGTAACATGATTAATGATTACAGTAAAATATTACGATTGAAAAATTAAACTAAAATTTACTTACCTTTGTCTAGCAATCACAAACAAGAAAAGAGAGAAAATGAAAAACGGAAATGTTACTAAAAATTTCGAAGTCTCCAAGTCAGCTGTTTGTCATGATTGCCAGACAAAGGTTTTTAAATTATTCGCAATTTTCGGCAACACATATGATACCTATCGAAGTTAGGAATTCAATCCAACTCAGACTGCAGATACTGCAGGGAAGAGAGAGAAACTGATGCATAAGCGAAAGAAACACCTAGGAGGGTATTTCATGGATCATAAGGATTCAAGACTGGGGAAGATAGGATCCATACTGTCTTTCATTAAAGAAATCGGACTTGGAGAAATACTCTAACCCGACAAAGGGGCACAATAGATCTTTCAGGTTGCAGTGCACGATCCCTTACTCAATAATAATAATACATATGATGTATTAAGAAATTAAAGTTATTAATCGAGTATATTCTGCAAACATTATAAAGGAAGATCTAACATACATTGAGTTATAATAGATTATCATGAAGGTGTCAGAAAATTTGATAAATTTTGTATATACATTCAATATTACGATAATACAGTATAATAAAAATTGAATTTTTAAATGAATGATTATAAGAAAAATTATACTCATATAAAAATAAGTTTGACGAGTAAGCTATTGTTTATTGTTTATTTTAACAAGTCCAGGTTTAAGTGCTTCCAGTTTAAACAGTATCTAAAAAATATTCCCAAGGATCACTGATATTGGGTATTTAACAATACCTGAATCACAAAAAGGGACGAAAAATTTTGATCGATTTTACACTAAAATCTCAATGAAGAAAAGTCCCCATTATTATATAAAAAAAGAAGAGTCCACTTTTTGAACTGAATTATAATATCTAAATTTTAACGAATGGCTCAAAAATGGCAGGAATGCTTTCCCTATTTTCCGATATAAATTATTCTTTATATCGACTGAAACTGAGGCTAAATGTAAACGAAACCAAAGATAGTGTAAGGTCACAATTTTCGGTGACAGTCAAGTGGCAATTAAAGCACTTTAATCTTGCACCACTGAATTAAAATTAAAATTAAATTAAATAAAATAGATCAGATTAAATTAAAATTAGTAAGAGAATTTGGGAAAGAAATTGAAAATTGAATTAGCAACTTCCGGGAATAACTTTTATAAGGTTTCCAGGCCATAGAAAGTTTGAAGGGAGTGAAAAGGCAGTTACTCCATATTGGACGTTAATCTAGGGGTACTCTTACATATTTCCTTAAACAATGTTAAGTACAATAGCATGTTCTACAACTGATGTTCTTCAACATCATATCTCAATATTAGATCTAGTTTATTAAGGTATAAAAATTTAATGGGATGGACGAAGTTTATTTACAGGACTTTCTTGTGAAAAATGTGGTGTTACAATGTCAAATAATTATTATTTATTTGAAGTAGAAGACTGCAATCAATCGACCATGTCCACACTACAGACTGACCTAATTCGCATTTTTAATAAAATATAATTGCTACAGCTTTTTAATAGTTACTTATGCACTGGGCTTCCAAACTATAGTGTGACCTATTTTATACTATAATTAGAAGTAAGATAATGCAGCTTTAGAACTGTTGCCTATCTATACTACATGGATTCCTTATTTGAGCTGTAACTGGTATTTATTTGCTACAATTCTAGAATTGGTTGCAATGTTGCGTTAAATTTTCTATTAATAACTATATTTTTATTATATTTCAGCGAAGGTATTATGGAGACCAGGTTTTTTTAACAAACTCTTGTTCACAATAAAACTCAGATAAAAAAACTATAATATGTATGTTTTCACAAATGCAAAGTAGATCACTGTTTTTTTATTGTAAGTTCTCATTGGAAAAAACTTTTTCTGTATGGTTAGCCAAAAATAAATAAATAAAAGTTTTGTTGTTACAATTTATTTCTGTTCGATACCTCTCTATAAAATATTAAATATTTCTATTAAGTAAAATAGTTACTACTCTCATAAGTCAGGTTAAGTCATGTATAATATAGCACTTTTCTAGAATAATTGCGAAGCAATTGTTGTCATTATTTGATAAATAATGAAATCAGTTATAAATGTGTAAAATATGGGTGGAGTATTACCACCAATAGATAATAGTTGGAGTTGACTGGTAATTTTAATGCTTTCTATTTTGTGATTCTGAACTTCTTTCGGTTAGATATTTTGAATTTGTGAAGGAGGAAGAGCTTCGCAACATATTTTATATTGAGTTCTAAATATTCTCAAAGAGTATGAATTTAAGTTCTTTCATTTATCTTATGACAGCATCAGGTACGTGATAACTATAAATACCTACTCATAGGTCGGTTAGTAAAACTGTTCACATAACTAAGAGTCGACAAATAATTTAATAAGAGTGTTAAGTATTAAGATTAAGTAACTTAAGCTATTGAAGTAAAGTTGATCCACAATACTTATACTCACCTTCCGGACATTTATAATTTTTGTGTATTTGTTAAGTAAAATACTTATTTGTTAACTTTTCGTGATATCTATAAAGTGTTGTGACCAAGTCAAAAATAGGTTTCTGCATATAGGCAAGTTTCGTTGCTGGTTTTTAACATTTTTTTTAATGATCCTATTTGGTTTTATATTGCAGATACTGCATAAAAATATACATTAACGCAAACACTTCTAATAAATTTCTGGTTGTGCAATTCGTGATGTTTTCTCTCCAATCGCAATTTACGGAGGACACAAATGTTGGAACGCAGTCGTTTATTATCCACTAATGAACAAAAAGCATCAAAAATGCACAAAAAGTGCTTTAGAAAATGAACCAACACACACGCCGCAGTCGCAATGAGCGCATTTCTAAATAAACCTTAATTTGTTGTAGTCTTTTTATTGCACTTTATTTGGTTTTTGTTTCAGATACATGCACTGCTGATATTGTCCTGGCGCTTTTTTCTTCGGTTGACGTTGGTCTTTTCTTCATTTTTGCGAGTTCGGTAAAAAGTGCATTACGTGGAATTTTCAAGCACTTAAGCTGCTTCATAAAGCGCTGCGAATTCCTGTTGTGCACTTCACATGTGACAGCTGTATGGGGGTATATGCTGTCGTCTTCCTTTTCTAAATTGTTTAAATTACTTTTGTAAGGTAAGTACTTCGAGTTTGCACCCTACACTTAGCTTCAGTTGCAATGAATAAATTAACAAGTTGGTGGGATTTATTTTATGAGGATCTGAAGAGAAACCCAACAGTCTCTTATTGGAAATCGAGGTTATCTTTATACTTAAGCCATTTGTTAAACTGTAACCTACAAGACTTACTTATGGTAGAAAAACCGGAGAAAAACTGTTGACCTAATTCAATTAATTTGAGGTTACATATAAGCGTGATAATAACTTCTTGAAGATATTATTGTGTTATAGTTGGAGAATATCCGTTATGCTAACTCAGACTATTTGAAGCTACAGATAAATGTAATAATATCTTGGACTCGTTTTCAGGTAATCGTAAGATTTGAGCAAATATGATGGAAAAATGTTCCTCTCAGGTAGAGGTTTGACTTATTAAAACATGAAGCTATGGATCGATGTTTACTTAAGTCCAATTTTAGAAAGTTGAACGGATAGAAATTATCTGTGTTCAGATCTGTTAAGATTAGCAATTATGCTAAAATATTAGGATTTCATTATCTGAATATGTTATTTGAGACAATTTTATAGCACAACACATCAGATTTATTATATCATTTTTAGAGCAAGATAGTTCAGCTGCCGAAGACAATTTAATGCTACTGAAAAACGTAATAATATCAGGAGCTTAAAGAACTCAAACCTTATACAATCCAGTAAAAGCCGTACAGAGTTACTATACTTATTTACAGGC